AAAGTCTCTGAAATATGCCCATATGCTTATCCACACTCTGGTAAGTCTCTCAAAACAGATTTCAATGCTTTTTCTTCCACTCCCCCCTTAGTATTTCGTTGTTTAGTTCATGCGCACTTGCTTTTCTCACTGTTCCCAGGGGGTAGCTTTCTTTTTAAATTCTCGTATTCGCTTTAACCCGACTCACTGTTCATTGTTGGTCATATGACCTCACTCGGCAAACGTTCAAAACACTCGATCTCCGACACTTGTCCCGGTCAGCGGCTCTAGATCCATATGGACACTCAGCAGCAGGACAATCAGGGCGCCCCCTCCTATCCGCTGGTGTGCAGATCACATCCCCGGGAGGTCCGGGAGATGCGTCCGCCAGCATGTCACCATAAACCGGAAGTCATCACAGAAGGTGGAAGTTGACCCTGGAGACCTATGTTGCTGATTCCAAGATTCAATCCATATGTTTCAGCAATGTAAATGGCAATGGATTATTTCCTCCGGCCTTTTTCAAATGTACTAATGTTCCCAATTGCTTAGATGAATTTGGGTGTTACCATATTTTTCGACTCAATGTGATTTTGCTCTTTTTACAGGAACTGGATTCTAAAAATGAAGAGGTCCACCAGGGGTTCCAAGAACAGATTTCTGAAATCAACCAACCTAAGAGCACCTACGTGCTCAAAACGGCCAATAGACTATATGGAGAAAAGACTTACCCTTTCCTTACTGTGAGTAGAGCATTTGCATTAAACTGCAAAGTATAGTTTGAAATTCATTTTCATTTAGTCATTCCCAACCTTATTAAATACAGTAAGATTAAATAATATTGTTCTAATGTATTGCTCTTTTCTTGTTTATTACGAAGTAATACTGAGCTAAAGGAGCTGCGGTGGCTCAAGTGGTTAAGATGCTGAACTGCAGGCTGTGGAAGGTCAGTAGTTCAGCAGTTTGAGACTCGGGTGCTGCATGACGGAGTGAGCTCCCATCTCTAGTTCCAGCTCCTGCCAACCTAGCAGTTTGAAAGCAAGAAATTACAAGAAGATAAATAGGTACCACTTCGGTGGGAAGGTAACAGCGTTCCGTGCGCCTTGGTGTTTAGTCATGCCGGCCACATGACCACGGAAATGTCTTCAGACAGTGCTGGCTCTTCGGCTTTGAAACGGAGATGAGCACCGCAACCCTAGAGTCGGATTCGACTGGCTTTCGAGCAAGGGCACCTTTACGTTTACTAATACTGAGCTAGAGGTTGAAACCTTAGTTAAAAAACATTTGTGTAATATTTCCATATATGTATTACAGATTTTATATCATCACAAAATAAGTTTGTTACATAACGTCTACTTTTATTGGCCACTGTGGTATCCTACATTTCCTTGAAGGAGCTCAGGGTGGCATGCTACTGATTCCATTTCATACTATCAGATTATCTGAAGAATAATTATCCATGGTATCTGAAGAAGTCAGCAATGACTCATGACAGCTCATATCCTGTCACATATTTTGTTAAGAGTGCTCATGGACGCTTGCCCTTTTTTTGTACTATAGGATTATTCTTTCCTTCCCCTGAGGAGTTCAAGGGTGGTGTACGTATTTCTAACCTATCCTAAAAGGAAATAATCCTTCCTGAAAACTCTGTCATTGGAATCACTTGTCAGGTAGATTGGATTAAGAGAGTGGGAGTGGCCCAAGGTAGGGTTGCCAATCTCCAGGTGGTAACTGGAGATATTTTGGAATTACATTTGATCCCCAGGCGACAGGGATTGATTCACCTGGAGAAAACGGCCTCTTTCGAAGGTGGACTCTCTGGCATTATGCCCCGCTGAAGTCCCTCTTCCCCCCAAACCCCGCCCTCCTCAGGCTCCACCCCAAAAATCCCCAGGCCCTGGCCCAAGGTCACAAAGTGAGCTACAGGGGGCTGAAGTCTCCTGTCAATGCCTAGCCTTCTAGCTACTAAATCACGTACAAAGAGCAGGGCTGAATTGACTCCCTGAGTGACCTAAACAGCTGCTGGGGGTGCCAGACTGGCAGGGATGGCATGGGAGAACACAAATACACAAACCTTTTGACACCACGGCCTGGCTTCCACAGCCCATCTGGCACTCAGTGGGGGTGGTACAGGAGGATGGCACATGAAGCTTTAGAAGAAGAGGAAGAGAAGAGATTGGATTTATACCCCACCCTTCACTACCCAAAGGAGTCTCAGAGCGGCTTACAAACTCCTTTCCCTTCCCCTCCCCACAACAGACGCCCTGTGAGGTAAAAGAAGAAGAGGAGATTGGATTTATACCCCGCC